CGTTAGAGGGGTAAGCAGTTAATTTCCCATAGTAAGTCCACACTGCAGTCAATGCGTGCAACCCTATTTGATTATTCACCAGAATTTACTATGTATATAAAATGAGAACACACTTTCATGTAAGAGTGTACAGTCAGTCATAAAAGTATTCGATTATTCAACTTGTGTTCAGGCATGAACATATGAATATACGAAGATCGTATACATGCCTCCGACGCACTCAACGACTAGCAGGTAGTACGCTGGGAAAAGATAAGGGTCACACGTACGGACTCTATAAATAGACAAATGGACACTATCCCTTGCAACCCCAGAGTCAGATTATGTAAGAGACGAACGCTAGGCCTTAAAACCTCAGCGATAAGATAAGAGTATTCAATAGACCAATGCTGAGCCTTACACACTCAGCAATATAAGCACTAGATTTAAGGGTTGAAAATATGCATGAGTCTGGGTATATAAACCCGGGCTCAGAAGAATAAAGATCAATACGCAACTAAACACCATCATAGTCAAGTGTATTCGTTCAACTTGTTATCTTAAATCTATATGCTAAAATTAATCCTACTTAGTATGCAAGCCCTTATTTTGTATAATGGTCTTTGGGGTCACAAATTCTCGATGGGGTTGACATGTGACTTTATGGTGAAGTATTCCGTTGTTTTACATGTACAACACTCACATTCTCATTTTCTATGCAGTATGTTTCGGGTCGTTGTCTTACTGGAAAATAAAGTCCTCGTTTTGGATACTCATTTTATCAGGAATGGAGAGGGTTTCTTTTAGGATACTTCAACACATACCCGCATTCATAATACCATCCCTAAATATGTAGTTGCCTACGCCATGCAAAAGATTCAGGCGTGCCTTTCGCTAAATCTTTGTAAATTGGTACGTGTTTGTTAACTGATTGAAGACATACGCTCATTAATTAGCACAGCAATTTATTCTTCTTTTTTTCGACTTTTAAAAATTTGTAGTTCTCATCGCAATGAAATACATACATACGTAAATTGAGCTTTCCTTGCTCATAACAATTGCATGAGACTTTTGCCTGTCGAACTGTTTGAAAAAAAATACCTAAGGAACGTTGCAGCGCTTGAGTGCATTGGTTCTCCTCCACATTCTGTATTTATTGTTATTGAAAATATGTAATAGGAACTCATAATTCCATGGATGAGGGCTTGGTGCTGGATATTGGCAGAATGCCGCCCAGGGTCCGGATGAGATGCAACAGCGAGGAGCGCTTGGCACGCACCTCCTGCACGGAGACGAGCAGTGTGCTGGTGGCATAGCCGCAGCGAGAAATATAGTCAGCCAGGTTGTCGGTCATGCACATGAAATGGAGGCCGGAGTCGTGATCGTGATCAGTGCCCTGCTGTAGGCAGCGGCCCAGTGTAAGAGAGAAGTCCTCGGCGCTCAGTGTGTCCCGCAGGTGCTCGATGACCGTGTGCGCCAGCTTCAAATTGCGGTTATCTTCAGAGTCGAAATAGTAGAACTTGCGATCAGGTCGGGCCATCAAAAGCAGCGACCAGTGTGACCCCTCGACCAGCGGTACAAAGACGAACAGCTTGCTGTCCAGCTGCATCCCTTGTGCTAGGCGCCGGCGCTCACGACCCTTTAGATGGCGCATGCTGTAGGCCATCGCGGGCGTCAGGAAGTGCAGCTCAGACTGCGCCTTGTAACGTCGGCTCTGCAAATATGCACAATAAAAGCCAATCACGTGCTCATTCAGAGCATACGGTCCCTGCAGTAGCTGCACGTCCGAGTGGCGCAGTGATATCTCCTGAAATCGCAGTGCAACACTCGGCTTACCCGAAACATCCTTATTCAGTTGACACTTGCGCACGTAGTCAACATCGACACTTGACTTTGCTACTTGCAGTCGACGAGGTGAACTACCTGGTTTCTTAGTCGTCTTTTTTTTAATTTTCTTTTTGCTCTTGGACATCTTGTGTGATCCAAGCTTAGAACATATTATGTTTTGTAACAATGTGTATGTCGATTTCTGTATATGTATGTCTGCCAACGACAGGGTCCACAATGTGAATGAAGCCAAATGCCTACAAAATCATATACGTACATATACTCAGAGCCTACTCGATCTCTGATCAACTGTAGCGAGGGTAACCCATCAAGGGAGAAACCAAGCACAGGTAGTTATCAATATGTGATGCACTTTGTGATGGATAATAGTTGCCTCCCTCAGCTCTTTCTCTCTTTCCATCTTTTTTATGTGATTTACTATTAGTAATTTTCATATTTGTTTCTCCCTCCAATGTTCAATAAAAGCAAGGCATAAATAACATATGTATACAAAATTTACGTAAAATGTATTGATTCAATTACAATATGTAAGGTTTTTTCTTTAGTCTTTCATCAGCTTAATGAATGATTATTAACATTATTTTATAAACAAATTAAATTTCAGGGAAAAATGTAATACTCTCGAAGTAGTCAATCACCCTCATGGGGTATATGTCACCTAAAACGAGAGCTGGCACTGCCTCTGGCATATCGTCGCCCTCCCAAAGAGCCAATAGATAGACTACGCCATTGTATTTGAATGAGCCGCAAATACCGATCAAAGCAAGTCCCTCAGAAAAGCCATAGGCAGCATTGCCATTTTCATCCATATGCACAGCAAATTCCGCATCCATAATAACTATAATAAATTAATAACTATAATAAATTAAGGTTTAATTCGCAATTTTCGCAAGCATTATTTTTTGTTCCTTACCTTGAGCTTTCTTTTTGTATTTTGTACGCAGTTGGATAGCCAAAAAACTTGATGATCGTCGCAGCCAACTTTAAGTTGAATAAGCTTGACGAAATAGTGTTGCCAGACTTAAAATCATGTCAGCTGTTTGCAAAGCTCTTTAGGATAGATCAAATATTGATCCGATAGATTTGAATCTATAATGGAATAATCGACTAATAAATAGGTACATAAATTACAGAAAAAAAAAAAGAAAAAAAAACTAAATATGAGCATTGCCCAAACAACACATAGATAAGACATGTAGAAGAAATTTTTTCTGCGCAGAAAAAAATGTGCATAAGAGACGACGATTGTGTGATAGTAATTTACGCAAAGCGAACAGCTGATTTGACATTATGACGTCATTATTTCAGAACAAGCTGCGCTCGCGCTTTAAATTGTATGAAAATGAAGCTATTTGAGACTTTTCTGTCTTAAAACTAGTAAACAAAATAAAATAAGCTGGGCGGCTAATCACAAATTCTATATAAATTCACAACTCGGACAATATATAGGTTTTTGGTCATTTGTATATTCTGGGCAGTTATTGATTGTAAAAGTAAATAATTACTACTACGTATTATGAATTTCCCATCAATCTGCATCATCATATGTACTAATTTCATTCATTATATTACGGATCTGATGGCCATAGAAGATACGCAGCATTGTTAGTTTTTATTATATGTTTCCTAGGCTTCATCAGTTATCGATTTTGTAATTAATACACAAAATTTATTTCATTCTACCGGATGTTTCTGACATGACAGCAGATGTGAGCAGCACCTTTATTACCTGTATTGATGCAGCTTTAACGTGTACTATATTTGAATGTGTACGTAAATTGGCATAAATAAACATTATTTATGGCGAAAGCTCAGTTCACTATGTTTATCAACCATTCCTGCTGATGTATTGGCCATTTTAGCCATATCATTGCTGGTTTCGAGAGGCCTCCCAGTTCATTCCATTATATACTTAGATTCTTTATGTATGGTAATAAAATTAGTAATTGACCATTTTTACGCTATTTACTATTGAAATTTGCTTATATGTATATACAAAATTTTGGTTGGTTTGGACCACTTGGTGGATGTCTGCTGAAGTGCCCGCCAAGCAGTGTTGCCAACTTTTGTTCAGCAAAAAATGCTGTTTTTAGTGGGAAGATACTTAAAAAAAGCTAAAATTTTGTGAAAAAAAAATCGGACAAAAAAGCTGATGGTTTTTGCTTTAATTTGATTGATATTTAAATATATTTTTAGTAACTAGAAGTCATGGCTGCATTTCTTCAACCGTGGCAAGTCGTATCTGTAAAGTTTTACACTGTTAATTGCTTTATAAGCACTGTTAGAGAATTTCAAGTTCGATATTATTGCTCAAATAAGTTATATTGAATAAAATATAAATCATATTTTAGTTTAGTTAGTTCCACTCGATTGGTTCATTCATAGGAAATTTACCTAATGAACTCTTTAGTTTTAATTCAATTGCAATGACAAACACTTCTACATACGATAAATCGCTAAAAATTATGATAAATTGATCAGTAAAGAAAAAAGCGGAAAAAAACAAATTAGTTTTTTAAAAATCCAGAATTCCCACTGCCCGCGATTTTGTAATTTTTCACGCAATTGGATTTTCAAAAAAGCCAGATTTGACGGGAAAAAAGCTGATTTGGCAACATTGCCGCCAAGCTTCGCTAGGATAACAGAACACAATCTGAAAATGTGACGTCACAAGAGAGCTGTTAGTTAACATTGAAAGCAGGGACCGTAACGATTATAACTTTTATAGGAAAAAATTAAAAAATAATTATTATTTTTTGATAAATTAAAAAAAAAATATTTTTAATAATTAAAATTGATTTTTATGATAAAAATCAAAAATAATTATTACAAAACAATTTTATATAAAAATCAAATCATAAGTCTTATATTTGATTTTTATTATAAAAATCAAAAATAAGACTTATGATTTAATTTTTATTTTAAAAATTGAATTGATATATCTCTTGAAGTAAAGGAGCTAGATCATATATCGGCATATATATATGATCTACGCATTATTACCTTTCAGATGATATATAATATGTATGTAAATATGTACATGTATACGTACATATACATTAATTATATACTTAGACGCTTTCCCAGGGCACTTGCGCTGTGCACTTGCTCGTACCTATTCAGCAGATAATGTGAGGGGGAGACAGATGCAGATAAAGCATAATCACTGTACATACATATGTTTATATGTATATATACGTATTATTGTCACCTTTCCCTGCTCCCATAGATATAACACTTGGTATAAGTTTACTATTTATTTAGTTTTAAGAACATTATTTTTTTTATAGAGTCTGCACTGTCTGTCAGCACAAGCTTAAGCGCAGAAAATGCCCTTTCCACCGAAACCTGCATGGCAGGCACCGAGTGAACTATCTTGGCAAGACGGTACAATCGTGGATATGTGAACTTTTTGTCCTCCCAATAGCACATAATATCCACGTTTAAATCTATTGGCTTTGGGGAATATCCATAAATCTCCGTTATATCCAATTTGAGTTCCGGTTCGTCCTCTTCCTCAGACTCTTCACAGTCAGACGCAACCTCAATAGAGTTCAAATAGGCGTTTAAAAATGAACATGTGCTTTGGGATGTTATTTCAAGGCCATCGTCCGGTTGAGTCGACGTTGCCTGTGAGGCTTCTGGCGAAGTATCTATATCAATTGTTTGGCTGTCCTGATAATAAAAGCAAAAAAGGTAATTAGTAATTGCTTTTAAATATGGAAGGAGTTATTAGTCTCACTTTTTTATTTAGCGCAAGTATTTGGCGCATCAATCCTACCAAATGATTTTTGGCTGCCGCCAGCTGAAGTGGATTCTTCAGAAGAATCCGCCGAATTCGGGGATCCAAATAAATTGACGAGAGAATCACCTCATTTGTTGTCAGTATTTCTTCCCGCTTCTCCAAGCTTTTGGCTAGATCCTCACTATGGATGTTGCTAACCATAGACTTTATCATTAATTTTGTTTCTAGGAAAAGCTTGTAGAAGTCCCCAAAAAAAAGCTGTTCGCTTTGCAACTTTTTAGTGGCTTCTGATATCGGCTCCAGCACAGACAATAGAACTTTGATGTCAGCCCATTGCTTCTTTGAAAGCTGAAGGTTTTCAGGCAAGTGTTACCGGATGAACTCCTCGTATATGCATACACTTCTTAGCATTTCAAAAGTTGAACTCCATCTGGTGGGCACATCAATGACAGGCAGAGGTAGCGCTGTAGTTGAAATTGCTAGTCTAAATTCAGTATACAAGAGGAAAATTATTCATTGGTATATTTAAAAATCGTTAATTTGTATGTTTACCTGAACGTCGGTGTGCGCAAAGCTTTTACAAGTTTTCTCGCACTTGCAACAGTTGCATCCCTTGCATCATTGTTAAAAAAATCTTTTACGGCTAATTGCAAGGAGTGAACATCGAATTGTTGAGATCGAAAAAACATTTATGCTGTCCATCAGCTGCTCATTTTCGATATCAGCACTGAGCACATTTTCGAGGTCTTCGTTCAAGCAATCAATTGCCTTTACGACATTTCTGCCATTGTCTGAAGTGATTGTATATAATTGCTGCTTTGAAATCGAAAACTCTGCCAAAATATTTTCAATTTCTATGCTCAAATTGAGCCCTGTGTGTTGGCGCTGCAGCTCAATTATGCCCAATGTCTTCACTTCAATGGCATTATTTCTATAATACTGGACGTTTACACCCAGAATGCCTTTGGAATGTCGAGAAGCAATGTCAATTTTGAGCGATAGCATCTTGCTTTGAAGTCGATCTCTTAAAACGGACTTCTCGAGCTCATATTTCTCCGCGACGTGATTCATAACATTCCGTGACGTAATGGGGCTCATCTTCAACCCACTAAAAATTTGGAGTGTCAGCGCCTTAAAAGGTGCAGAATCAAAAAGGGAGAATGGCACTTTTTCATCTGTCACCAATTGCACGCACGCTTTCTTAACCTCGCTTGTCGACATAGAAATAGAAAATTTCGTTTTCTTCTCCTGAGGTTCACTTGTGTCTTGGCTCAACTCAGACATGTACTCATCGGCATGGCACTCCTGAAGATGTCTCTTCAAATTAGTGAAGTAATTGCCCTTGAAGGAACGCTTGCAAATTTTGCAATCCGTAACATTTTCCTCCACTTTAAAACAAAAAAACTCGCGGACAATAGCATCACGTTTACGACCCATTGCAATCAATCACCAAATTATAAAAGAAACAATGCACACAAAAAGCTTAACGATGCTGCGTTAACCACTTCTTATCGCAAATCGAATTCTAAAAATAGATTTTTAACGGTTCTCCCCGTTGCACAGTGGGCCAAACGGCCCATTTAGCTTAGTTTTTTTTTTCTCTTAAAAAATTAATTTTTTTCTAGAATTCAAAGTTTTAGGATATTTTTAAGTAAATTTTTTATCTATGGGAGCAGGGAAAGGTGACAATAATACGTATATATACATATAAACATATGTATGTACAGTGATTATGCTTTATCTGCATCTGTCTCCCCCTCACATTATCTGCTGAATAGGTACGAGCAAGTGCACAGCGCAAGTGCCCTGGGAAAGCGTCTAAGTATATAATTAATGTATATGTACGTATACATGTACATATTTACATACATATTATATATCATCTGAAAGGTAATAATGCGTAGATCATATATATATGCCGATATATGATCTAGCTCCTTTACTTCAAGAGATATATCAATTCAATTTTTAAAATAAAAATCAAATCATAAGTCTTATTTTTGATTTTTATAATAAAAATCAAATATAAGACTTATGATTTGATTGTTATATAAAATTGTTTTGTAATAATTATTTTTGATTTTTATCATAAAAATCAATTTTAATAATTAAAAATAATTTTTTTTATAAAAAATTACCAATAAAAGTTTATCCTTTTTTTGAACTCGCCATAAAAAAATGTCCTTATGTGTGTTTTCCTCTCTTTTTGGGAATACTTTTGAGCCTAAATTTTTTTAAATGCGTAACACTTATTTGCGGTCCCTGATTGAAAGTAACGGAACTGCTCTTTGCGAAACCTACTGTGTCTTTTGACAGTGTTTCAAGCTGATATTCTAGTCATTCTTCATTTCTTTTATGCATACATACACATGCATCCACACTAGAGGTGCCAAACTATCGATGGCACTATCGTCACTATCGATGGTCGGGCACTATCGAGCGACTGAACTATCGATGGTTCAATATCTCGATAGTGGACGATAATATCGTCCAAGGTGCATGACAAATAATTATAATCTTTCTTAATTTTTTATCATAGCTTGCAAATGATGATTGATCGTTTTTTCGAATATGCTCTGCTTCATAACATAACCGAAAAGATTGTGCAGACACAATCTCGCTATGAGCGGCTCTCTTTGTTTTGTTTTGAATCGGTTTAGGTCAAACGCTTCGCATTGACTGATTGGTGTGACGATCTCAAATGAGTGTCGCGTAAAGAGTAACACGATTTTCGCTTATACAAAGACTCTCAGCAAAAGACAGTTTGACTAAAAAACTAACAGAAATGATCTTTGTGTGCATGCAAATACATACATACATACAATGGATGACAAAAGTATTTTGACAACGCATTGCAAAAACTCTAACCGCTTATTTCTGCGTGATGAGAGAGGTAACGGTTATATTTTTCAGAGAGAGCAAACATAACAAGTAAGAAGGCTCCAGTCGAGACTGCTCGACTAGGAGATACCCTGAACCCTCCAAGCTGATATTCTAATCATTCTGCACTTCTTCTATGTACACATACATACACATGCATCCACACGCACGCATAACGCTGCGCTCTGCTAACTGCGCTGCGGCTGCGCTTGGGCTGCGCTGCAATGTGGGCAATATTATGACAATTTATTTGTTGAATAATTTCTTTTGTAGACATACAATCTTAATGAAACTTTCAGAGCGTAAGCATATGGTTAAAATGTGTGAACATTCCAAAGCACAAGTCTCTAGTACATGAAATGCGTTTTTTACAAATTGGGGGCGAAGGGGTATCCAAAATCTGTAAATTACAAAATCTTTGTGTCCATTAACTCTATATACAACGCCAATTTGAAGTCTCCAGGTTCTAGGTTCAAACTAGGCTGAAAAAAACAAGTCGATTTTACGATTATTCTCGATAAAAAAGTTATCGGATGAGTTATCGAAAAAATAAAGCAAACTCGTACTGCCTATGGTATACACGAGTATGCATCCCAAATTTCAGCTCTCTAGCTCTTATATCTTCTGAGATCCTTTTGCTCATACGGACGGACGGACGGACAGACGGACAGGGCTATATCGACTCAGCTCGTCGTCCTGATCAAGAATATATATACTTTATGGGGTCTGCGATGATTCCTTCTGCCTGTTACATACTTTTCACAAAACCATTTTACCCTGATTTCCCATTTTCAATGGGTTCAGGGTATAAAAAGCTATAAGTGACCAAAATATTGCAGTGATAACATAACTCATTATTTTTATATAATTATTTGCATGGCTGATTATCATTATTCGGGTGGACAAAAGTATTTTGACATTTTCGGTAATTCGCTTGGATTAAAAAATACATATTTTTATTTTTATACCCTGAACCCATTTTGAATGGGAAATCAGGGTATAATGGTTTTGTCTGTATAATGTCCGTCTGTCTGTCTGTCCGTCTATCCGTATGTTTGAACGCGTCGATTTCCGAAGATATAAGAGCTAGACACTGAATTCTTTTTAAAAATGACCGTATATACAGCGTGGATGTCGAGTTTCCGTTTAAAATTCTATAAATCGTCCCGTTATGTTTTCATCGAATAAAAACAGTCAAGTTCAAGTCAGATGCCACTATAGCTAATTGTGAATGATTTTTCATTTTTTTATACCCTGAACCCATTTTCAATGGGAAATCAGGGTATAATGGTTTTGTTGAAATGTATGTAACAGGCAGAAGGAGGCGTGGCAGACCCCACAAAGTATATATATTCTTGATCAGGGCGACGAGCTGAGTTGATTTGGCCCTCTCCTCCGTCTGTCTGTCCGTCTGTCCGTCCGTCCGTCTGTTCGTCTGTCCGTATGTATGAACGCGTCGATTTCAGAAGATATAAGAGCTAGAGACTTCAAATCGATAACTCATCCCGATCTTTTTTTATCGATAAAAAACCTTATCGAAAACCAGTTATAAAATTATATCTTCTACACCTTTATTGCTAGAGTCTCCACATTTTTAATGTATGCTTATATGCAATTTATACAATTTCGGTTTTTGTTAAAATGTACCCCCATCTCTAAATTCACCCCCTCACCTTCATTTTTGTAAAAAGCGTATTTCAAATACTAGAGACTTGTGCTTTAGCAATTACATGCATATCCATGTTATAATCATAATCTGAAAGTTTCATGAAGATCGTACGTTATTAAATAAAAAGTTATTAAGCAATTAAGTTCTCATAGTAAGCGCTCACTGCCGCCCATGCGTGTTTATGCTTGTGTGTGTATATGTATGTAAATGTTTGTGTGTGTGTGTGTTTGTGTGTGTGTGTGTGTGTGTGTGTGTGTAAGTGTGTGTGTATGTGTTTGTGTATGTTTGTGTGTATGTGTTTGTGCTTGTGTGTGTGTGTGTTTTTTTTTTTTTATATTCATTTATTGACAAAATTATATAACAAATTGCGAGTTTCGTGGTGGCTAGGATAGCGCGCGGTGCTTGCGGGACGGCCGTAAAGCATTGCTTCGCAAGCACTATGCGCTCGTCTTCTCAGTCGCTCGACTCTGCGGAGCTCCATCATCACCGTGGCCGCGAAGGTGCTTGTTAGTTCCCAAGCTTCCTCCGATTCCAGCATGGCGTTGACTAAGTTGTCCGCTCTGATGGAGCGGCCCACTGCCTCTTCCAGACGACGCCTCTCCTCCAGGAACCGTCCACTTTCGAAAAGAATGTGGTTGGCGTCTTCCACATGCCCTCGCTCGCACCAGGGGCACTCGTCAGATTCCTCGTGGCCAAAGCGCTTCAAATAACTCCGAAAGCATCCATGACCCGAGAGGATCTACGTAAGGTAGAAGTTAACCTCGCCATGTTTGCGGTTAACCCATGGTTCAAGCTCCGGGATGAGCTTGTGCGTCCACCGCCCTTTAGCTGAGCTATTCCACCTTCTTTGCCATCGTGCGATGCTGTTCGCCCTGACAGCGTTGAGTCGCGTAGGCCCGTGCGAATTCCGCTCCACGGCTTCGGCGACCAAATACTCCAGTGGCACTATACCGGCTATGACGAGCGCCGCGTCATCGGAGATAGTCCTGAAAGCGCAGCTGACTCTGATTGCGCTCAGCCTGTAGATCGCGCAAATGCCTCGGCTGTAGCTCGGCGTTGCCATCGCTCTTGCCCATATTGGCGCAGCATAGAG